GTTGGGGATAGCATGCTTTCAAATGCCAGTTGAAGGCAAAGGATTAGGGTTCTCCATCCATTCCTTGTCATTGGAGGCATCTGGCTGCTAATGTAAACAAACAAAATATTACCGCAATAAGAGGTATAGATCAATGCCTGATCTATAAGGATTATTCTTATGTTCTTATGATCAGAAACACTCCCTTGAAGAACACTCATAAACTACAGCTGGTTCAGAATATGGCAGCACAAGTAGTTATGACCACACCTTAGTATACCCATGTACCACTGTTATTGCATGAATTGTACTGGTTAACACTGGGCTTCCAAGTGCAATTCAAGATAATGGTAGTCACCTGTGAAGTCCTTCATGGCATACAGCATGGTTATTTGTGGAATCATAGGTCTCCAGTTGTTTCTGCCTTCCCTATACAATCTGGCAAGGCTAACATGTTCCAAGTCCCATCAATTAAACAATGCCTTCTCTGTCACAGACCCTTCCCTACAGAACAACCCCACCAGCAAAAAAAAATATTGGTTACCCCTGTCTTGCCAGCCCTTAAGAACACCCTGAAGACCTGCTTCTTCTCTCAGTGCTATTCCAGGATGTCAGATGAACCTGCTGTATATGAGTCCTGTGTCTGGTCCCCTACACAATGTTTTTACCTTATTATGTTTTATTATTTTACCATTTTGTTTTAGGATGTTTTTAACCCTTAACCCTTGTTAGCTACCCACAGTCACTTAACAAGTGGATGACCATATAAATTGATGAAATAAATAATGAATGAATGCCAGACCTTTGCTAGACCTAACTACCAGGAGTAATTTTTCCTTTATTTATTCAGGGATAATCATTTATTTATAATAAATCTTTTATTTATAAATAATCATTTATTCAGAGATAATAATTCAGTAATCTTTTCTCATTATTGTCATCCTAAAAATCCTTGGTTCATATATGTCCTTGTATCTTATATGTATTTCCATAAACCAAAATCCATTTATGTAACTTCATTCAATATTGCAGTATTGGCAGCTTCCTAGAATCCTCTCTAGCAACACTTAGATACAAAGTAATATTTTTCCCCAACTCCTAGTAGAAATGACTAGATGACATTCTGCTCACAGAAGTGTCAATCTTACAGGGAACCTGAAGATTTCTTTTCCCCTTCTTCAGGCAGAGAACTACCTCAGGGCATCTTCATGCATCATTTTTATATGGGTATGATTTCTGAAAACAATTTTATTCAATTGTATACATTGCTGTGTGTGAAAGTAATGAGATTATCTATTTTACATATAGTGAAAGTCATTGTACACTGCTATGAATATAATTCTGCACAGTAACACAGATTTGGTAAAAGCAAAGCTAGTTGGTGTCAGAAACAATCTTACTGGAAATAGCAATGGCATAAGTTATTTTCTGAAGGGGTCTTCCTGACCAGTAATAAGTAATTTTATAAGAAAAAATAATGAAGGATATTCTTTCTTTGAACAATCAGAACAGTCAGACTCAACCAATAAAGGCATATCATCCAATGCCAGAATATCTTAATCTTTATTTTTAGGATTACCCTCATTTACTTTATGCAACCCCTCCCTCAATTTTTTATTGATTCCAAGAAATCATTGCAGTGAATAGTCAGCAAAGTTGGATACTTCCTTGAGAACAAATGGGGGCAGAAAAACTCACCAGGGTGCCACCATTATGCCTGTGCCAGCAACTGGACATCACATGACCTCTGCCTGTAATCACCACTTCACACTGTACAATGACACCAAGAATTAGTTCATACTGTATAGAGCTACCCAGAATGCCTCAAGTAAACTATCATTTGCCTGCTTTAATATGACACTCCTTAATCTCCCCAGGAGTAACCCACCCTTGAGTTAGAAAATCAAGTACAGGGCTTCCTGGCTTCCATCAGCACACTATAGTTTCAGCAATCTGGAAATGGAATGGCTCACTGACTGAGTATAGTGGTTCTGGGAGGCAAGGTGAGGGGTTCGCTTCAGAAGCAAAAACAGCTATTATAGAGGTTCCATAAAATAGAAGGAAATATAGGTAACCTGGGATCTTCAGTGTATCAGGCAGCTTTGCCAGAAAGAAAGAAACAGCAAACTTTCCTATGCAGGCAAGCTGTAACCCAGACAGGGATGAGAACGAGAATGGGTGGTAAACTTTCTGAAGGCTTAATAGTCCCCTCCAGTTTCCCAGCTCTTAGACAATTGCAGACTAAGGCAAGAATTGGACAGTCAACTGGATGATAATTATTTGGAATGTTCACCCCCTCCCTGACCATATCAAGACATGCTAGACTACAGAAGTGATTTCTTTTTAACAGGGTGGCCTAAAAAGTGATTTCCTCTTTCTGATGAAAAAGCTACTTAGATTTATGATCTGCAGATTTCTCTTTTCCCAGCCACATTTGATTGTATGTTTATAAGAGAATTGAGAATATTAATTTGTATTAGTGGCTGTAAGGACAAAGGCAAGGATAATAATGACTCCTTTGCTAATCAAGACATTTGTGTGGGAAACTAAGACTGTTTCTTGTCTTGGAGCTCAAAGAATCTTCAACCTGCCCTTGCCATGCTAACTCTCCCTATTCTCTGTAGATTTCCAAAATATGTTTCTCTGCATGCAATCAACTACAAAGAAATTCCAGAGATGGCACCCTTAGGAAAAGAAAAATATTCCAGTAGTCTGTGTTCTTTATCACACTAAATATTGTGGGAACTCACTCCCAGATTAAGTCTGTCTAAATTAATCAAGAGGGAACAGGTTCAGGAAAGGAAAGATAATTTTCCCTTAAACAGATATGTGATGAAAAAATGTGTCTTACTTCAACGTATATATTATCGAAAAAAGAAGCAAGAGTGTCTGTCAAATACACTGTTTTCCATTTGCTCAGCATTTTGCTCTCTGTGACTCTCATTTGCAGAACAAGCTTGAACCTTGATATAATATCAAGGAGAAAGAGCGTGCCTGCAAAGAAAGCCAAAAATCTTCATTTGCAATCCAAAAAGTTCTTAATCCACAATGAAATTGAAAGAAGAAAGCCTTACCTGTCATCCACAGGAAAGTGGTCCAGCCCAGTAAGACCCTGTCCATCTTGGGGTCTGTCCAGGCAGAACAACAACAACAGCGGGGAAGGAAGCAGAGCCAGAAAGTAAATAAAGCTCCTTGTTTTGAATAAACTGGCACATAGAAGAGTTCTTTCCGTTATCTGCAGGTCTTCCACCACACAACTCAGTGTGTGAATAGACAGAGTTCTGAATGGGAGCTACCATTCTGCTAGGGGGAATCAAAACAAGTAATGCTCTCTTCTAATAATTCTATTCCCTGTTGCCTTATTTACAAATCTTGGTCAGGGGCGAAAATCACTATTAGCCAGCTGCTTTACTCAAACCAAACTCAGATTGAAAATAAGCTTAAATCTTCTCATGTTTTAAAATCCTACCTCCCCTGACATCAGAATTCTTAGGCTACAAGAGTTTCTAAATCACATGGCAGTCCATTGAAGCTGTCCAGGAGCAGAGAGAGTTCATCACTGGAGAGTCTTAAGGGTCAAGGAGCCTGCCTAAAAAGACCAAAGGGGGTCTAAAAATGTGCCCCAATGAAAATTAAAAGAAGGGACTAAAGTTTAAATGAAGTTGCTCAATTTTGACCTCAAAATTTTATAATACTGTAGAATGAAACTGAAAAAGGAGCATTTATCTACAATTCTGTATTTGCACAAATTAGAGGGAAGGAGGTAAGCAATGGAGATTCTGTGGCCATTTCCCTCCAAGTGACTTATAATGTCTTCATAGCATCTCCCAGCCATTGCTGAAAGTGTTGTAAAGCCTGTCCTCAATACTATTATTTTGGCACAACAGTGATTAAATGGCTGTGGAAAACGCCATAAGTTGCTAGTGGAGATACTATTTGTAACAGGTTTAAGTCCAATTTTCTTTTTAGTTTTTTTATCCCACCTTTATTATTTTTATAAATAACTCAAGGTGGCAAACATACCTAATGGTACCTCCTTCCTCCTCCTATTTTCCCCACAACAACAACCCTGTGAGGTTGGGCTGAGAGAGAGGGACTGGCCCAAAGTCACCCAGCCCGCTTTCACACCTAAGGCGGGACTAGAACTCACAGTATCCTGCTTTCTAGCCTGGTGCCTTAACCACTAGACCAAGATGGCTCTCTTTTTTCCATTTTGTTCCATTTGTTCCATCAGCAGTTATCAAGCAAAACCTGTTAAAACGCTATAGACTGTTCTGCTGCTTACGTTCTAGTCTTATTCCATTGAATCTAGTGGCAAAATCTACTTTACACAGTAATATTCAGCAAAAGTAGTTATGTTATTAAAATATGAATGATTTTCCATATTTGCTTGATCATTTAGTAACAATAGCAGATGTGGGATAATGCTACGCATATTATTCTATAATGCTGAAGTTACCAAACATTTTACAAAAGTGTTTCAATATGCAATTTTGTTTTACCTCCCCCAACCCAAAACTCACTGGCTGATGTCCCTTGCTGGCAGAGCAGACATCAACTCATAAAGCTCCTACAGCTGAAACAAATGTACCTGTAGAACAAATGTATCTGGATTTAGAATCTAATGACACAGTCCATCGGCTATCCTAATTTATTTTTTTATTTAAATCATTTGCGTTCAGAATCCACTCCAGTCATAGATTGCCTAGTTGATTGTTCTGTTTTCACTGGTTAAGGGATTTCTATCTTACAAAAATGTATCTATTTACTTCCCAATAATATTGTTGAAAAAGGGACAAAGGCAAACGAAGCTCTAACTGGATTCTGTCCCTTCCCTACAAGAGTATTACCACCATGCACTATAGGACGGACTGCAGAATTTGTGGGTTTTTTAAAAACTTACTGTGTTTAAATGATGTTGCTCTAAAAGGAGGATGTAAGTAATTATAATGTCAGTGAAGTACCACTGACTTCTTATATGTACAAAATCAGAAGAAACAATTAACCCTGTTTCGTCTTCAAAGCAAATGTTGGCATACCTGATGCTACCTACATTCCATGCACTTCTGTACCTGATAGTATCCAATGTGCATATCTATAGACTTGTCAGACACTTCATCTTAGGCTAAAATTTTGACACAGATATACTTGGCACCACCTTCTCTTTATTTCCTGGATTTTTAACAAACTTGTATAATGAAGAGATCATCTATTGCTTCCTCTACAATTCTCTACAAGATTGTAAAGTTAATTCATTTAGATTTCTGAGCAGGAATTATTTTTTGACATTTTAACATAACAGGTTCTCTTTCTTGTCTATCACTTCTATTCCTTTTGAACAAACAGTACAATTCTTACACTTGTCATGGGAATCTCCTACTAGGTCTCCTACTCATATTAAATCGTTTTTGTTCTCCATTATTCCTATTAAATACTTTTTGAATCAAAACAGAACTGTATCCCTGGATATATATTTGTATAAATAATAACTTCTTAATAACATTACTCATATCAGACAAGAACCAGTTACACTGATTTCAATCTGCTATGGCCTGATTCCATATTCATTCCACACAGAGCAGAGTCAAAACTTCACAGTACAACATATGGAATTAAGTTGTTTTTTTTTTAATTTGCTTTTTTCTTCAATCTTTTATTAAACAACAAAATCCAGCTCCAGTCTCTTACTAGAATTAGTAAATGGATTTTGTTTTCAAATTATAAATACTAGTTAAGGCCCTAACTGTAATGTTTATTCAGCCAATGACAGTTAAGGCCCTAACATGGATTTCTGGTTAATATTTTAATGTTTTCAACATTTCTTTTTCTTCTACCATTGGCAAGCAAACTTGGCAGAGATCAGTTTGCTGAAAATATATTTCAACTCATACCTAAGGAAAGAGAATTTCAATTCAAGAAAATGGTATTGTTCTGTATGCAACTCTAATTCTCGTGTTGATATTTTCCTATATTCTGAGGTTATGTTGAATAGGTTCTGTGTGCTATCCATAAATAATGAAATATCTGTTTCTTAGGCCACAGATCAGAACAGGCATAACCTTTGATTTTCTTCTTCCTGACATTAAACATTAAATTAAAAACAGAGTTCCACAAGTTTCCCTTTGGCAAAGCATATTATAGAACAAACTCTTCCAACACTCATTCCCCCATCCAGTTATTTCTCTATGCTGCCCATGGGATCGGGAAGCAGAGTCTCAATCCCAACTCCCAATTAGATAGCTCCCCATTATTATTATAACTCATGGAACAAACCCTGACAAAATGTAAAGGAAACACCATCATATTGTGGATTTTTGCTTTGTTCTTTTGGCTCCACATGGCCCTTTTCTGAGGACTTCAATTACTCCTCAGAACCCTATAGAATAGGCATTTCTATCCCTTTAGCTGCCCAAAGAAAGAAAGAATGATGGCTACCAGCAGGTACTTTGTGTTTCTACTGTCTCAGTTACATTCTAGGGAGCTCAAATAATTTTTTCTTAACTCTGAAAGAGATCACCTCATTCACATTTAACAGTATGTCCCTCCTCTTTACAGCAAGATACAGCAATGCAGTGGAAAAAATGTTAATGGAAAACACTTACCTTAGCTAATGAACAATTATTTAGTAATGTAAATACAATCTACAATTGGGCCAAGAAAGACACTTCTACACGAATCTCTGATCCTGCTTTCATAAACATAGTTTAATTTTCAGTTGCTTTGACTCTATCCCAACCACCAGTTCAATTCTTAGCTGACTTCAGATTTATTTTTGGTTGAAACAGAACATTTGGAAAAAGCATTTTTTCCCCAAAGAACACTCTGTTCATTTATAAATATCAATCTACCTGTTATGCACAGAAAAATACCTAATTCAGCAATCAGAGATATTTTACACTGAGTTATAAAAGAATAACACAGGTTCAATACAGGAAGATTGGATTTTCTGTGAACAAAACTGTAAATATTTCTAAAGAAGTTTTCTTCTATCAGTATTAGTGATCAGTAAATTAGTGATTAGTAAAATTAGTAAAATAATTACACTTCTATAAAAGATGTGCCTTGTATCGCATTTTCTCCAATGTTTCCACAGAAACAAAATGGGAGGTTAAGAGATACTTAATAATGTAGTACCAGACAAAATGTGAGGGAATATCTATAATCAACATTTCATCTTCATATATGCCCATTTCAAGATGAAAGGATCGAAGTGGTACAAGTGTTTGTCCCACAATTCGCTATGCATCATCTGGCTTGTGCTATAAGAAATATTGGAGTATACAGATCCTTAATTACCTTCCAGAAATATTATACTTGGAAATTAACTTCCGTTATGTCTATCTACACATATTTGCAGCACTGTTTTTACCTTGCAGCAATTTCCATAGAAACAGTTATTTCTATAGCTTTGTGAGGTATCAGGCAGCATTCAACAAATAGATGTTGCTAAATTACTTCATTATATTCACTAAAGCCCGGCATGCCACAGAGAGTGCCAGTGAATAGTGCATGTATTGACTTTATATTATTCAATGAGTGAGTTTAAGATCATGGTGCACTATAAATGCTTCTTTATTTTTGTACTCTATGTGGAATCTTTGTTCTCACCTTTACAACAAATTGGCCAGAGTTGGTTTTAAGATGGGTGGCTATACAAATGTTTTAAATTCATAAATAAACTGCAGCTGAAGCATTTAAATTTGGCATATTATATTGTTCCTGGCTGAATTTAGTGAATGTATGTTCTGCAGTCTTTCTTTTTAATAATAATCAGAAACCTGAATATATTTTGTACATGCTCATTATTTACAAGTTTTACTCTCAGTTTTAAAGCTGTTGCCAAGTTGGTCTTTTAAGGACAGCTTACTATCATGCACTGTATAATAAAGGACATAGCAGAAGTATTTAACAAGAGTATCAGACTGTGCATGTCTTTCAACCTCCTCAAGATCCACATTTAGTATCCTGCTTTGAAGGCCACAATGCTATCTATATTTACAAAGAAGAAAGTTCTGCCAAGTCAGGATAACTTATTGCTGAGCTATATT